TCTGATCAAGAAACAACGGTATATTTTGATCCGTCAACCATAAACTGAAAAACGAAAATAAAAATATTATTGAAATAAACTTTAGGAGAATGTTTAAAGTTCTCTTAAATTGTTTCATTTTACTTAAGGAAATGGCATCGTTTAGACTTGATTAAGAGCAAAGCAAAATGACAGCTTGTTTTGAAGGTCTCAAATACATTTCATTATTGACAAAGGGAAATGGCTGCTTCTTTTGAAGGCGTCGTCGATTTTATCTTGCTAGAGAACAGAACCTTAACTAGTAATATAATGACGAAAGATTATCGTTCCATGAAGATTGATGAATGATTTCTCTTTAATAAAAATGAACTCTAACAAGGACACACAATAAATTGAAGGTTTTCAAGTCTCAACATTGTTCATTTCTGTTACTTAAACAGAGGTTTGAAGCACAAAAATGAATGAAAGAAAAAGCACGTGATGACTTATTCCAAAGATGAAGAGAAGGGTTTGCTTTTCAACAAACAACCATAATTTTGTCTTAAGATTGTTGGTGATATGTGTAGGAAAATTGTTGTTCGTCAATACAAAAAGTCATTAATTTTAATTCGCAGGAGCATAATTAAACTCTATGAATATTAGAAACAAAAAGAAAGAAGAAGAATAAAAAGAAAGGAAAAGAAATCCGAGGCAAGTGATTAACGAGTTTTCATTAAGACAAAATTGCCCCCACAGTGGTGTTAACGGATTAAGGCACTTGTCTCCCAAAATACAACGAATACAATTTGTGGTAAAAGCACTTCAAACCATAAGCAACAACAAACTCGAACGAAATTCATCCCTCTACAAGAGAATCATTTTTGAAGAGTTTTTTGCAAGAGTTTTTGGATATAGTGCTCAATGTAAATGATATGGGATGCATAATGGGAATTTAAATGATCTATTTATAGAAGAGGAGGAGTTGTGAGTAGAGTAACACGCTCTAAACTCAACAACCTTCTTGAAGGGAAGCATCCTTGGCTGTTGCTAGCTTGTTGCCGGCCTCTCGCTCGAGCGTTAGTGACATATTTTCAACAAAAACTTTTCATCCACCAATCACTCGAGCACTAAGCGAGCGATAGAATTAAGCAAATATCCTGACCAGTTTTTCCTCTTTTCTTTCCAACTTTTTGACTGCAATTTACCATTTATGCGGAATTGGTTTTGAAATTCCAAATATACTACAACAATCAACTCAACAAGTAAAACAAGTTAGTTTATTTATTTTTATAGACACAAAGTCACTTATCATGTTTTATACTTAACTAAAATTTTCTATCTTTAAAACAAATTCCAACAACTTCTTCTATCTTCTTGTTCTGTTTTTACACATTGTCGGTTGATTGGAGTGGTAAGGTAATAGACGGTGGGATTCAACTACTTGCTCCAATTCTTGCACTTCTAATGCTTGGACTTTGGGGGAATTTGAGGATGTATTGCCTATTCTTGATGTGGGTTCATTGTATAATTCGAATTTCCATTCCCTTTTCCATGAGACATGGATTCATTGTTGGGGAAGGAATGTACGTAGAGATGGTGGCGGCAGCGGCGGCTATAGGCCAAGATGACGGTGGAGAATCAGGCTACTCGTGGGATGTGGGAGGAAAATGGAAAATTTGTGGGAAGACAAGAATACCCTTCCTTTTGAACAAAATAGCGTTCAGGCATTCACTTAATGGAGTATTTGGATGGAAATAGATGTCTTTTAGCCCCTTATCGCCGTGGGGGAAAAATTGAACTATTTGGAAGAGCCGCGGTAAGACAGAGGATGCAAGCGTTATCCGGAATGATTGGGCGTAAAGCATCTGTATGTGGCTTTTAAAGTTCGTAGCGACATTAAGGAATATTTAGAAAGGCATTTTGGTAATCGGTCTGATTCTATCTCTGAAATGATATTTTGCTGAATAAAATGTGAAAATTACAAAAAATTGAAAGTTAAAGACGTTTTGTATAATAAAAGTGAAAGATATAATGTTTTTTGCTGATTACCCGAATTTATAGATGGCCCCAAATTTTTGGGTATAAAATATTACTAGAAAAAATTTAATATTAAGAACATATATGTTACTACACTAAAAAAAAAAAAAAAAAAAGTAATTATATCAAACATATAAGATCTTATTGAGTAAGACGAATTGTGCGATCATGTTTTAAGGGATCATAAAACATGTTTGATTGAGCTTGAAAGCCTAGGATTTCTCGGTTACATCTCTCTTTCTCTCTCTATATATGTATGTATGTATTGTCGACATGAGTTGTTATCTTATTGTTCCTCTAGTTATATATATGCCCTAACATGACACATTGGAAAATAGACACTGTTCAGACACCGTCTAGATATAGAAGTTCCGTTAAATATGCGATTTAGTAAAATTTATATTCTATATACAGAATTAAATACCCTGTGTAGAATTAAATGTAGATTTGAGGTCATTCTATGAAAATTAATGGCACCTACACATTATCATTAAATTGTAGATGAAACTCATTTGAGACCGATTTTAAACTTGACCGTTTATTCTTTAACCATTAATGCCACGTGATTGAAAGTCCATCTAATTGAAGACCACACAGACTCTAATTCATAAAATTCATTTGAGATGCTCTGATTAAGGATGAAGTTATTGATAAAATTTATTTAAAATCGATAAAAATAAAAAAAAACAAAAGTTAACCTAGATTGCATTAAAAAAGTTATCATATAAGTTGAAATAGATAATATCTGCAAAGAATTTATTGACGTGTTTAGGACTACGTCTAACTGACATGACAACAAAAAAGTGGACTTTGTCAAAAAGACCATCTAAAGGTCTCTTCTAAATCAAGTGAATCACCATTATTTAATATTTCTCTCTTTCTAAAAAAAAAAAAAAGGGTTGAACCTCAACCTTGAGGGCCTCCATAACCCCACTCCTAGAGCTTTGTGAGGGAGGTAAATCGCGGGATGTGTTCCAACAGGCCAGGAAACAAGAGTTGTTTGTACACTGCGCCAACAAGAAGTCCAATTACATGTCTCAGGAATCGAACCCCTACACTGCGGTTGCCAGCAAGGCATGAGATAACCTCACTCCTATCCTTTACACCTCACTCATCTTTCTCTTTCTCTCTCTCATGTTTCGTGTTGTTTCTCTCTTACTAAATATACATTAGAGATAAAATTTTGAATTATAGACGAAATCTATTAAAGAAAAAATTTGAACTAAATCATCTATTCTTTATAAACAACAATTTCAAGTAAACCAGAATCGTTTCTATTTATATTTCATCTAAATTGCTAACCATAGAATACATTGAAAATACTCTAACTCAAGTGGTAAAACTCGATGTTTAAATTGAGTTGGCATGACTCGATTTCGAGGACGGGCAATGGATTTATCATTCTTTTTTTTCTCCATTTTATCTATTTATTTGAGTTTATTAATGAAGAAGATATATTAAATATATACAGCGATACAAAAAGAAAAAATTAAAACTAATATTTTATGTGAAATGCATGGCATAGTTTCATAAGAAACAATTATTTTTCTGATCCCCAAAATTATATGAAATTTAGCTAGTAAATCCCCAACTCATATGTGACAAAGAAAAGGTTGGTGACCTACTTCATTTCACATATGAAGAACCAGATGTAATTTTTTATTTTTATTTTTATTTAGCATTACTATACTGTTGGAAAGAAAAATCAAACATTTTCTAAATTCTTTTTTATTTTTTATCAAATTCACTTTCAATCAAACGTTTTATAGGATCTGTAACTTTTATTAATTTTTCAACCATACATGTAATCATTTTTTTTAATCAAAACCTACTAAAAATTTTATTTTTAACAAAATCAAATAGCAGCTAGGTGTTATTAATTAAAATTTAGTGGAAGTGAAGAGTTTGTGCCTGCTGAAGATGAAATTTCTTCGCCATTTTCAAAGAAAGAGAATTCCTGTTTTTTTCCCTTAAAATTAATGTCACTTTAAATCTCATCTCTAACTTTTCTTAATATGGTAAGAAGTTTTGGTATGGTTTTTTCTCATACTACAACTAAAAATTTTAATGTTAATACTAGAGATAGTGTAGTATCGTATTGAAATGTCCAATCTATTTTCCTAAGAAAAATAAGTGATTCATCAATTTTACTTGATTAAATAGCAGCCTGTTTGGGAGTGATTTTTTTGCCCAAAAAATTGATTTTTTGATCATTATTTCACTATTCCAGTCGTCATATTTGACTTCTTTTCTCACAAGTGGACCCCACTGTTTTCCTAACGGTCAAAAAATTAATTCTCAAAATCACTCTCAAACAGGCTCTAAATATATAGAATTGTTAGTTTGTAAAACTAGATACTAAATTCGTTCAGAACTCAGTTGACTCCTTCTATAGCCAATTGCAACCCTAGCTTCCAAAGACTTGCGAATACTCTTGTTCTTTGGTACTCTGCACTTATAGCGTACATTATTTTATTTATTAATAACAAATTAATAGATTTTCTTTTTCAATATTATTAATTTATAGGGGTTTAACTGCATTTGAGTAAACTACTATATAAAAAATCGCTATGGTGTGTGGGTTATTTTTTCAAATTGCAAGTGTTGAATAATTAAAATTAAACACCCTCACGCACTGCCTTGATTGAGACAACTCGAAATGGGTTTGAAATTGAATTCAAATATGAATGTGTAATCCTATCTCCATTGATCAAGTCATGATTTTTGTTATATACTATAGATTTTTTATATAGTAATTTACTCAAATACAGTTTGACTTGATCAATAAATGAAAATAAAAATTAAAAAATCAAGATTAGTGATTTGTGAAAGTTTTTAACAATTTTGTTAAATTTGAATTTGTATATTTATATTATTGTATTTATGTACTTTTGCCAAAAAATTTCCTTTCTCTGGAGGCCCATTAAAACCCAAATAGAGGCCCATTTTCTTAAAAGGGCTGCTAAACCCTCATTTCGTGTTCTCCTTTTTTTCAACTGAAACCCCATTTTTTCATTCTCGCGCACCAAATACGCAGTGCCCTTATACCCCTAACATCCCCTCTCCCTTCCCCCCAACACAAAATGGTCGCCGCCGCCCGCCCCCTTGTCACCGTACAAGCCCTAGAGAATGATATGGCCACTGATGGAGCCTCCTTGCCCCTTCCTGATGTGATGAAGGCATCGATCCGCCCGGATATCGTGACATTTGTTCACGGTCAGATCTCCAAGAATGCCCGTCAGCCTTACGCCGTGTCCAAGCGCGCCGGCCACCAGACCTCTGCTGAGTCATGGGGTACTGGTCGTGCTGTGTCGCGTATCCCCCGTGTTCCTGGTGGTGGTACTCACCGTGCTGGACAGGGGGCCTTTGGAAACATGTGCCGTGGTGGTCGCATGTTTGCTCCTACCAAGATCTGGCGCCGCTGGCATCGGGCAGTGAATGTTACACAGAAACGTCATGCTGTGGTTTCTGCCATTGCCGCATCTGCTGTTCCTTCACTGGTACTTGCTCGTGGGCATAGGATTGAGGAGGTTAATTCACATGGATTCGATGTGAAATTATCACATCCGAGGCGTTAGTTCCCATAATTCCCTTTTTATTTCCCTTTCTTCTAAAAAATGAAAATTTAAGTCCTTAATTAAATAATTAATAATATATATATATATATATATAATATCAGTATAGTATACTTTTAAAAATAATAAAAATCAATATATTTAAATTTAATTATAAATTTTTCATATAAATTTTTATAATTTAATAAAAAATAATATTTTTCACAAAAAATGAATGAAAAAAAAGAAAAAAAGTTATAAGAATCTAATTTAATTTATTCATAAAAAATAGAGACAAATAATAAGAGAGAGAAAGAAAAATAAATGGAATATAATAAATAGAAAAAATAAATTTTAAGTATATATGTCAATAGAAGGTTAAAAGAAAGAAAGATTGAATTTATTTATTTATTTATTTTTTTGTGAAAGTCTCCCAAAATCTCGTAATTAATGTGAGATAAATTTTAAGATATTATATGAGTACTTTCTTCTTAAAAGTTAATACTCCAGAAACTTTTATAAAAGTCCCTAAAAGTCATCAAAATTTGAATAACCCAATACTTATAGAAACTTCTAAAAAGTTTTAATTGAATACACCATAACTTTTAGAAATTTTTCAAAAGTCTATAAAAGTCTTAATTGAATAAACCATGACTTTTAGAAAGTGTAAAAAAGTCTCAATTGAATACCCTTAAACTTTTTAAATCCCAAAAAATCATTAAAAATCTCAATTGAATACATCCCACTAAATGTCTCTTCTAAATAAAGTGAATCGCCATAATTTAATATTTCTCTTTTTTTCTCTCTCTCTCCCATGTTTCTTGTTGTTTCTCTGTTACTAAATATATATTAAAGATAAAATTTTGAATTATAGACGAAATCTATTAAAGATGAATTATCTATTCATTATAAACAATAATTTAAAGTAAACGAAAAGCTTTTCTATTTATATTTCATCTAAATTGCTAACCATAGAATGCATTGAAAATACTCACTCAAGTGGTAAAACTTGATGTTTAAATTGGGTTGGCATGACTTGATTTCGAGGACGGGCAATGGATCTATCGTCCTTTTTTTCTCCATTTTATATATTAATTTGAGTTCATTAATGAAGAAGATATACTAAATTCGATACAAAAAGAAAAAATAAATAAAATTAATATTTTATGTGAAATGCGTGGCATAGTTTTATAAGAAACAATTATTTTTCTGATCCCCAAAATTATATGAAATTTAGCTAGTAAATCCCCAACTCATATGTGACAAAGAAAAGGTTGGTGACCTACTTCACTTCACATATGAAGAACCAGATGTAATTTATTTTTTTCGTATAATTAGCATTACTATACTGTTGGAAAGAAAAATCAAACATTTTCTAAATTCTTTTTTATTTTTTATTTTTTATCAAATTCACTTTCAATCAAACGTTTTATAGGATCCGTAACTTTTATTAATTTTTCAACCGTACATGTAATCATATTTTTTTTAATCAAAACCTACTAAAAAATTTATTTTTAACAAAATCAAATAGGAGCTAGGTGTTATTAATTAAAATTTAGTGGAAGTGAAGAGTTTGTGCCTGCTGAAGATGAAATTTCTTCGCCATTTTCAAAGAAAGAGAATTCCTGTTTTTTTCCCTTAAAATTAATGTCACTTTAAATCTCATCTCTAACTTTTCTTAATATGGTAAGAAGTTTTGGTATGGTTTTTTCTCATACTACAACTAAAAATTTTAATGTTAATACTAGAGATAGTGTAGTATCGTATTGAAATGTCCAATCTATTTTCCTAAGAAAAATAAGTGATTCATCAATTTTACTTGATTAAATAGCAGCCTGTTTGGGAGTATTTTTTTGCCCAAAAAATTGATTTTTTGATCGTTATTTCACTATTCCAGTCGTCATATTTGACTTCTTTTCTCACAAGTGGACCCCACTGTTTTCCTAACGGTCAAAAAATTAATTCTCAAAATCACTCTCAAACAGGCTCTAAATATATAGAATTGTTAGTTTGTAAAACTAGATACTAAATTCGTTCAAAACTCAGTTGACTCCTTCTATAGCCAATTGCAACCCTAGCTTCCAAAGACTTGCGAATACTCTTGTTCTTTGGTACTCTGCACTTATAGCGTACATTATTTTATTTATTAATAACAAATTAATAGATTTTCTTTTTCAATATTATTAATTTATAGGGGTTTAACTGCATTTGAGTAAACTACTATATAAAAAATCGCTATGGTGTGTGGGTTATTTTTTCAAATTGCAAGTGTTGAATAATTAAAATTAAACACCCTCACGCACTGCCTTGATTGAGACAACTGGAAATGGGTTTGAAATTGAATTCAAATATGAATGTGTAATCCTATCTCCATTGATCAAGTCATGATTTTTGTTATATACTATAGATTTTTTATATAGTAATTTACTCAAATACAGTTTGACTTGATCAATAAATGAAAATAAAAATTAAAAAATCAAGATTAGTGATTTGTGAAAGTTTTTAACAATTTTGTTAAATTTGAATTTGTATATTTATATTATTGTATTTATGTACTTTTGCCAAAAAATTTCCTTTCTCTGGAGGCCCATTAAAACCCAAATAGAGGCCCATTTTCTTAAAAGGGCTGCTAAACCCTCATTTCGTGTTCTCCTTTTTTTCAACTGAAACCCCATTTTTTCATTCTCGCGCACCAAATACGCAGTGCCCTTATACCCCTAACATCCCCTCTCCCTTCCCCCCAACACAAAATGGTCGCCGCCGCCCGCCCCCTTGTCACCGTACAAGCCCTAGAGAATGATATGGCCACTGATGGAGCCTCGTTGCCCCTTCCTGATGTGATGAAGGCATCGATCCGCCCGGATATCGTGACATTTGTTCACGGTCAGATCTCCAAGAATGCCCGTCAGCCTTACGCCGTGTCCAAGCGCGCCGGCCACCAGACCTCTGCTGAGTCATGGGGTACTGGTCGTGCTGTGTCGCGTATCCCCCGTGTTCCTGGTGGTGGTACTCACCGTGCTGGACAGGGGGCCTTTGGAAACATGTGCCGTGGTGGTCGCATGTTTGCTCCTACCAAGATCTGGCGCCGCTGGCATCGGGCAGTGAATGTTACACAGAAACGTCATGCTGTGGTTTCTGCCATTGCCGCATCTGCTGTTCCTTCACTGGTACTTGCTCGTGGGCATAGGATTGAGGAGGTTCCTGAGTTGCCTCTTGTTGTTTCTGATTCAACTGAGGCTCTGGAGAAGACAAATGCTGCTATGAAAATCCTTAAGCAAATTGGAGCTTATACTGATGCTGAGAAGGCTAAGGATAGTCTTGGTATTCGCCCTGGAAAGGGTAAAATGCGTAACCGCCGCTACATTTCTAGGAAAGGCCCTCTGGTTGTTTACGGTACTGAGGGTGCAAAGATTTTTTTGCCCAAAAAATTGATTTTTTGATCGTTATTTCACTATTCCAGTCGTCATATTTGACTTCTTTTCTCACAAGTGGACCCCACTGTTTTCCTAACGGTCAAAAAATTAATTCTCAAAATCACTCTCAAACAGGCTCTAAATATATAGAATTGTTAGTTTGTAAAACTAGATACTAAATTCGTTCAAAACTCAGTTGACTCCTTCTATAGCCAATTGCAACCCTAGCTTCCAAAGACTTGCGAATACTCTTGTTCTTTGGTACTCTGCACTTATAGCGTACATTATTTTATTTATTAATAACAAATTAATAGATTTTCTTTTTCAATATTATTAATTTATAGGAGTTTAACTGCATTTGAGTAAACTACTATATAAAAAATCGCTATGGTGTGTGGGTTATTTTTTCAAATTGCAAGTGTTGAATAATTAAAATTAAACACCCTCACGCACTGCCTTGATTGAGACAACTCGAAATGGGTTTGAAATTGAATTCAAATATGAATGTGTAATCCTATCTCCATTGATCAAGTCATGATTTTTGTTAAATACTATAGATTTTTTATATAGTAATTTACTCAAATACAGTTTGACTTGATCAATAAATGAAAATAAAAATTAAAAAATCAAGATTAGTGATTTGTGAAAGTTTTTAACAATTTTGTTAAATTTGAATTTGTATATTTATATTATTGTATTTATGTACTTTTGCCAAAAAATTTCCTTTCTCTGGAGGCCCATTAAAACCCAAATAGAGGCCCATTTTCTTAAAAGGGCTGCTAAACCCTCATTTCGTGTTCTCCTTTTTTTCAACTGAAACCCCATTTTTTCATTCTCGCGCACCAAATACGCAGTGCCCTTATACCCCTAACATCCCCTCTCCCTTCCCCCCAACACAAAATGGTCGCCGCCGCCCGCCCCCTTGTCACCGTACAAGCCCTAGAGAATGATATGGCTACTGATGGAGCCTCCTTGCCCCTTCCTGATGTGATGAAGACATCGATCCGCCCGGATATCGTGACATTTGTTCACGGTCAGATCTCCAAGAATGCCCGTCAGCCTTACGCCGTGTCCAAGCGCGCCGGCCACCAGACCTCTGCTGAGTCATGGGGTACTGGTCGTGCTGTGTCGCGTATCCCCCGTGTTCCTGGTGGTGGTACTCACCGTGCTGGACAGGGGGCCTTTGGAAACATGTGCCGTGGTGGTCGCATGTTTGCTCCTACCAAGATCTGGCGCCGCTGGCATCGGGCAGTGAATGTTACACAGAAACGTCATGCTGTGGTTTCTGCCATTGCCGCATCTGCTGTTCCTTCACTGGTACTTGCTCGTGGGCATAGGATTGAGGAGGTTCCTGAGTTGCCTCTTGTTGTTTCTGATTCAACTGAGGCTCTGGAGAAGACAAATGCTGCTATGAAAATCCTTAAGCAAATTGGAGCTTATACTGATGCTGAGAAGGCTAAGGATAGTCTTGGTATTCGCCCTGGAAAGGGTAAAATGCGTAACCGCCGCTACATTTCTAGGAAAGGCCCTCTGGTTGTTTACGGTACTGAGGGTGCAAAGCTCGTGAAGGCATTCCGTAATATTACTGGTGTTGAGGTAGCTCATGTGTCACGACTCAATCTTCTCAAACTGGCTCCTGGAGGTCATCTTGGGAGGTTCATCTCCCAGTGATTTATCTCTGTTTGCAGTCTTCTAGAACCTGTTTTGTTATCATTTATTTGTTTTACTCGTTTCTCTTGTTTTTTTCTGGATTTTAAGACATCAAGGCGATCATATTTGAGGGGAATTACAACAATAACGTTTCTTCAATTAAGTTCTCGGACTATCCCTTCTTTATAATTTGGTGTCATAATTTATGGCTAGTTTGAGAAATTTTAGTTCAGGAATGTCAAAGGATTTTACATATTATCTTATTCATGAACCGTTGTTTGCTAGCACTTGGCATTTTCGTGATCGAATTTTGGTTGTTTACTTATGTGATGAGTTTTTGGTTTGTTCTGCTTCTCCATTTTTGCCTGTTTATCTGCTTGTCTTTCTTAGTGCGTTACTAGAATGCATTGAACTGGATAATGGATAGTGGATGAGTTGCCAAAAAAGAGAGATGTTGGATGAACTTGGCTGACAATATATTTGACATATGTGGAATGTGGATGGAAGCATCTCTATTTGTCTACCAACTGCCATGTTGCCTGCACTTCATAAACTGCATTGGAGATGCTTTATATTTGCTCAAGTAGTGTCTTGTGCCCCTCCAACCTAATTAGGATGCCTGACCTTATGATAAATGTAGCATCTAGGACTGGGGGCAAATGTTGTACCCAAAAGTATTTAAAAGAGACAATGAAATAGAAGTATACGAGAACTCCAAATTGGTAAGAGGTTTGAACTATATGAGAGATGTTGAGCTCATGAGGTTAGCCATAATTACGGTTGAAGTAGAAGATCCCACCTCGCACCATGGAAGTTTATAGCTTGTTCGGGAGTGATTTTTTCCTCCAAAAAAATGATTTTTGATCATTATTTTATTATTTCAATCGTCATATTTGACTTGTTCTCTCACAGGTAGATCACACTTTTCTCCTCATGGTCAAAAAATCAATTCTCAAAATCACTCCCAAGTAGGCTGTTAAGCTTCAAACATCTATGTTTATGCAAGACAAGCAAGAAGAATAGAGGTCGATCATGTCACATATAGAAGTTAACTCAAAAAAGAGACACTAAGCTAGGGAAAGACCAACTGGGCCTGAAAGGTGCTCAGTTGGCCATCCTGTTGTTTTCAAGTCGGACAAGGTATAATTTACTAGGACTTCAAAGGTGCATTTGAAATGGATTGGACACGCCTTGGTTCATCAAGAAATTTTTGGAATATGACAACTACATACTTGATAATTGACTTGAACATCATTCACCTATTTAAACTTGAAACCCTGTTTTACAATTATTATCAACAGTTGAATTCACGACGTTGACTGGAGAGATCAAGCCGGGTTCAATGACAATTTATATTAACTTTGAACAGTGATTTATAGAACCCTAAAGTTGAGTTAATTAGCATAGCTCACATGAAAGATTCTCTTAAAATCCTAGTTACTGCCTAATAATTGCCTTGAGAATAGAAATAAAGCAAGTGCTTTGATCTCTCCTAGCAGCATGTTCGTGACCCCACCCCACCCCACACCCCAGCCTGGCCAATCTAAGACTGTTAGATGTTGCCGAAATTTGAGGGATTACATTGGCAATATATATATATATTACATTGGGTAATCCAAGAAACCAAGACTGACTGGTCCTATAACCTAATTCATTTTTGAACGTCTAAAGATAATTATTGTTACATACATGCATATCTATGCGTGTATATATAATTAGCACAACAAAATATGCTTGGATGTAGATCTGTTTGGCAATGGAAAAGGATTTTTGTTTACCTTAATCATATTGAAAGATGATTTGCTTGTGGCTTTAATCATTGAAGAAAATAAATCTCGTTCTTTACAATCCGACTTGGAATCAATGTGTGTTATTGGAGCTTCCGCGCCCAACAAATTGCTATATAAAAAATCACGATGGTATGTGGGTTATTTTTTCAAAAGGCAATTGTTGAATAATTAAAATTAAACACCTTCACTACTTGGTCAATTAAAAAAGTATTGGAGATTGCTTAATTTGCGTTCACTGATAAGTGTGTTTTTACACACTTATTTAGCTCACAAACATAACTTAAACATGGACAAAGTAGTTGAATTGTGACTTAATCTCGTTAAATTTATGCAAATGTAGATGTTTCTATGGAAAAAATGGAATTGAGAAGAAAAGAGCCGAAAAGGACCAAAACGGAACAAAGCGATAGTTCGGGGACCAAAGGTGCAAATATTGAAAAGTTGAGCTAAAGTGCAGAACGAGAATGAAAATATGCCTATGAGCTAGAGGACGATACAAGACGATTGGAGGAAGAAAGAAGTAAATATTGGACTAAATTGAAGAAAAGTGAAAGATGAAGGACTAAATTGCAATTAATCAAAAGATGAGCCGAGCAAGTGATCAAGGAATTGATTGACCCAAACGTCAATTGGGAGCCAATATTTGATGATGGAACAAAGGAAAGAAAGAAAAGAGATCAAGAAAAGAGAAAACGAAGTTCAGGGACCAAAACGACAAAGTTGAAAGTTACAACCATGCGGCCGCACAAAAGGTTGCAGGGATTCCATGGGCCATTTCACTTGAACCATGCGGTAGTATGGTTTAACACCATGCGGCCACATGGCTATAAAAAATAAAATAAAAATTCTGAACTTGTGTTTTTAATTGAAACTCTTTTGGGGTTCCGTGAGGACATGATATAAAAGCTAAAATTCATCAGAAACAGGGGAGAATGTCCAGGGATAAGAAAATTACAACTTTTGGAGGCAAGAAACACAATCTTGAAGCCGATTCCACAAAAATTCAAGCGGGTTTTCAAGGCTTTATTTAAGATTTCAAGAAATTTTCATACGGGTGCTATTCTTTCAATTTATTAATTTCATTTTTTATTCTGTAATTATGAATATTCTAGGCTAGGTTTTCAATTCACTAGGTGATCGATGAACCATTGTTTGTTATTTTAATTCCATATTTCATGATTTTAATATAAAGACTCGTTTGAACAATTTGATTGATTTATATGCATTGATTTTCTTCCGCAATTAGTGGCCAATGATTGTGTGAGTGTTGATGACTTATTTCTTACATTCGAGAGAAGTGGAATAGGTTCGATAAGGTGTAAATCAAGTCCGATAGGGGATAGAGATATACCTCTATGCTTTATGTAATTCTCTAATTGTTCACAAAATCACATGCATTCTTGTATATTTGCATCATCCATAGAGATATAGGCTGGTGGTGTGCAAGAATAGGTCTAATATATATCGAAAGAATATGTTGAATAGATTTAGGAACATTGAATTGACAAATTTCCATCGGATCATTGATTTTATGAAATTATGGTTTTTATAGCTTCAATTGGGGATCCGTGATCCTAGTGACTTTATTTTGATTCATTTCCATAAATTAGCTTTTGAATTTGCATAATTTCTTTTACTTGAGTGCTTAAGTCGTTTAATTAGAGAAATTTCGAGATTAGGGTTCCTAATTGAGAAATTAGGATTTTTAATTGAAATTAGGGCTTTTTGCACTTGGACCATATTTTCACTCAATTAGACTTGGTTAAGGCTAGATTATATAGAATTGAACTATTCAATCTCTGTGGGACGATATTCGGACTTTTAAAAATCCACTTTATTACTTGTCACGATCCGTACACTTGTGGTAGTTTTAAATCGAAAGTATTATTTCATGAACAAGTTTTTGGCGCCGTTGCCGGGGATTGAGTATTCGTTTAATTTTATTCAATTTAGCACTAATTTGAACTTTTTATTGTTAATTTTATTTTAGTTCATTTTATTTTATTGCTTATTTAGTTTTATTACTTAAGTGCTTATTTTAGTTATTTAAGTGTTTAAATTGAATTCTCTTGCAGAAGTGCATGCCAAGATCTGCTGAAAGAGATCTACTCTCAGCCGATCCAAAGATTGAACAAAGCTTAAGAAGAAGGCAGAAAGAAAACAGAGCAGCGAGAAATCAGATGAAGAACGTACAACACAATCCTGTTGTACAAGCCAATGAAAGAGGGAAAGAAGATGAAGGAAACATACTCGTTGGAGAGTTCACTCCTCAAATCATTCAAAGCCAGTCCAGCATTGTATATCCACCGTTCAAGCAGCCAAATTTTCAGTTGAAGACAAATGTGATACAACTGTTCCAGAACGGACATCAGTTTTATGGAAGAATTGAAGAGAATCCGCACACGCATGTCTCGCATTTCTTAGAGATGTGCCAGCACTTCAGATATCAAGGAATCTCTGACGATGCCATAAGATTAAGATTGTTTCCACATATTTTGCAGGACAAGGTGATTGAATGGCTTGATTCTCAGCCGATAGCCAGCATTACTACCTGGAATGACCTAGCTCAGAAGTTCTATACTAAGTTCTTCCCACCGGCCAAGATAGCAAAGCTAAAGCACGACATATCTATCTTCAGGCAAGGTGAATTTGAGAATTTTGATGAGGCTTGGAACAGATTCAAAAATCTACTAAGGAAGTGTCCACACCACGGGATTAGCAAGGGACTTCAGGTCCAATATTTCTATGTGGGGCTACTTCCAGCTTTCAAGAGCATGGTCGACTCTTCGGCTAATGGGTCATTGTCCACGAAAACAATTGACGAACCATTGAAGTTATATGAGACAATGGCTACAATCTCAGCAATGTGGACCATGGAACGAGCAGTACCAAAGAAGACACCAGGAGTTTATGAAGTGGATGTATATTCAGCGTTATCCGATAAGATTGATTCCTTATTTCACATGGTGGAAAACATGACTCAGTCAGCTAATGCAGCGCAGACAAAGAAGGCAAATTGTGAGGAACGTGGAGCTGAGCATGTGACAGCAGAATGTCCAATTTTGGCACAAGGAAAAGAGCAAGCAGATTTTGCTCAATGGGGACAACGCCAGCAAAATAACACGTATGGAGAGACCTACAATCCAAGCTGGAAAAAGCACCCCAACTTTTCTTGGAGCAACCAAAATCAGAATAGGGCACAGGGGCAATATCAACAGCAAGAGAAGAAGCCTCAATTGGAAGAAATGTTCGGCAAATTCATGGAACAGACCAACCAATATATGGAGGCGAACAACCAATTCATGAAGAAGACAGAAGCCACTCTTCAGGACCAGAATGCAGCCATCAAGAATTTGGAAACTCAGATGGGACAGATGGCAGTTGCATTAATAGGTAGAGCACCAGGCAGCTTGCCAAGTAACATAGAAGTCAATCCGAAAGAGCATGCAAAGGCTATAATAACGAGAAATGGAGTGCAATTACCTGAGAGACAA